AAGGGAACGTGATAAGGGAAGACAGAGAAGGGGAAAAAGCAGCAACATCATGGATTGATTCAGGCTGGGACCTGAGGGAGAACAAAACACCGCCCTTGCGACAGAAGCACGAATGTGAGAGATAGAAGATGCACATTCTGAACTCGTTTTGGTGCCACTACCTGATTCACTTTTATGAATACACCAAAACAACACAACTTTTCTCTCTCTCAGCAAGGCAAATAACCCTGCCTTATTAAATAACAGTGCGCTATCAAAACAGTAACTGCAAAGTACCAGTTCCAAAGCAAACTTAGGAAATGGGTGGCTCTGCAATGAGAAGAGGCTGGTAGACAGCATGTCCAGCCACACCCCTGCTCCCATACAAGAAATTAATGAAGATGAGTTTCCAAAGGACACTTACCCCATTTCTACTCTAGATTACTGCTGGGGGATGGGGAAGATGGCCAGACTGGTAGTACAACCCTATAAGTTACTTTCCCTAGGAAACCCAACGTGATGGCAGATGCTTGGAGTATCCAAAGCAGGCTACAGAGGTTTTCACGTTAGGCAGAGGCTTTTAAACCTGGTCTCCCCCTTAGGCAGATTTGCCTTCCTTGTGCTTGAATTTCTCAAGGCAGAACAGACTGATAAAATTTATGTTCTTCACTGTCTGATCTGTAGTTCACTATTTCAGGTGCCACAGCTGCCACTATAAATGCCTTTGCAACTACATTTTCTTCCGCAAGTGAATTTTTAGGATATGACATCTCATAATTACTCAGTTCACTATTCTGTTAAATAATCTGTCAGAGCATGAAAAAACTCCTAAGTGTGCTCTATGACCGCTTCTAGAGGAAGCGGTTTATCTTGCTTTAAGTTGAATGTACACATTCTGCCAGTCCCTATAGTACACAATGAACATAGCTCTGAGTCATTGGATCGCCTGTCAGCAGTCATAGCAGAATTGAAGATGCTTTCAGTAATTAAAGGTAATTCACTTTAACTAGATATGGTTAAAGCTCTCTGCAGCCAAATGGAGAATAACATAGATACTGAATTTACCATATCTACAAGGTAGAAACAAATAAGTTCTGTCATTTCAAACACACAATACTCATTAGTAAATGCAATAAAGCTTTGCATGTAATCCATTTAGTGATGGCTCCTAGTTAAGTAAATTACATATTTATTGTTTGTTTTCACTGTAATACCCACAAAACCATTGATTTGTGTAAATGCTGCTACTTAGTCTTAAAGCTTGTCTTTTTTAAATAGCTGTAAGCAAACACGAGATAATCATCACTGAGATTAATAATAAAAATGAAATGGTCCAGTGAGCTGAAGTACAAGGAATATTTTACTATGGAAATTGCAGATTTAGGAGCTTTCACCATAATGACTACACATCTGAATATAGAAACAGATTCATTCTTACACTAAATCTGTCTTTTTAAAAACTTTTGTACATACTAGAATACAGAAAGATGCAGCATGTATTTCGAAAGAGCGTGGGTGTGCCTTTTCCTGAGTTCATCCTCTCCAGCTGGGAGGACCTGGGGATGCTCTGGGGGAGCCGTCCCCATGCAGTCCTATCCACGTACCTGCACTTGCAACCAATCCTATCCCATTGCAGGACATACGAGCCTTCATCAGCTGCACACTTGTCCTCATTTCTCCTCTCCTCCCCCTTACTGCCAGCTAGGAAGGCGCTGAAGCCTTGACTCACAACCAGTATTGACTCCCCATGTCTGCCCTCTTCCCACATTCCAGCACAACTCCCAAGTGTAGCCCTCATCTCCCAGTGATTGTCCCCATGAGATAAAAGAGGGACCCATGGAGCCCTCTGGAGCCACCCTTAGAGGGAAGAATCAGCACAGAGCTTCAGGAAGGGTGTGAGAGGTCCCCTAGGACAAGGTCACCCACTGGATTTGCCCTCAGGGAACCACAGCTCCAGCTTAAGAGAAGGCAAACAGCCTATATTCAACAGCAGACAAGTTCTACAATAAACGGGTCTATTTTAAACAGACAAGACAGACTCGGGATGGTTTTCATGCAGAGCCACCAGTTCTTCCTTTACATTGTTCTGCCTCTGAGGATGATACCTGCCTCAACGCTACTGCTGACCACTCAGTCCCACCATCTGCTATACCTTTCCCAATCCCATACAAGCTAGTGAGAAGTCTGCATTAGGCTCTTTCCCACCCACTGCTGGCAAACCAAACACTACAGAGGAGTGACAGGGTGATTAACCTGAAGCTCCCCCATTACTCAGACTTCTCATGATTGGTTGGATAGATGGTGCATCCCTCTGTTCATAGTCAGATCAGACTATTTATTTTCTGTAAAGTCAGTTCACTGCAAGCAACAATTTTCCTTCCTTGTAGAGACTGTTGGCAGGTGTTATTCTGGGCTAGGGTACAGACAAAGGTTACAGACCTTAAGACACAGAATACAGTGTGAAGGTGAATGTGGAAATCCTCCTGAGAGACTGGTATAAAACAATGCGCACTTCTTCTACTAGGCTGTTTAAAAGATGTCAAGCACACAAACGCCATTCTCTTATGCTCAGAGACACTGTAACTGTGACCAATGAGCCATACTGGGCAGAAAGAGCATTTCCAATGTCGTAAAAGATGAAGGGTTTGCTTCCAGAGTAATACCTCTGGAGACACGACATCTCCATCTTATGACAACCACTAGCTTCCTGTAGTCCCAGCTGATGTTAGGCAAGACTAGTTAATATTCGAAGTGAAGCAGAAGGCAAATACATCCAAACCACCACCGTTTCAATAGAAATCACAGTACCTAAAATAGCCACCACCTCGTCGTCCTGGATGACTTCTAGTGATCCTGAGACCACAAAGCAAAGAGCATCGACGCTTTCCCCAGCATGATAGATGAGGTCCCCCGGGGCGCAATGGATCGTCTGAGACTAGTTAATATTCGAAGTGAAGCAGAAGGCAAATACATCCAAACCACCACCGTTTCAATAGAAATCACAGTACCTAAAATAGCCACCACCTCGTCGTCCTGGATGACTTCTAGTGATCCTGAGACCACAAAGCAAAGAGCATCGACGCTTTCCCCAGCATGATAGATGAGGTCCCCCGGGGCGCAATGGATCGTCTGAAACTTTTTGGCCAGCCGTCACTGGCCAGTCGGAAGGCAGGGTGCTCGTTAAAAACTTTCCGGTTTAGGTGCACACAAATATCTGCTCTCATGTCCTTTGGGCAAATTGAGAGAACCTGAATAAAAGAAAGGTGAAAAATAATCAGCTGGGAATATGACACCAGACCAGCGCGCGCTTTACGAAATAACTGAATGGATGGATCTTAAGATCCACCATCCATCCAGTTATTTCATAAAGCTTCTGGTGGGACTTTTATCTTGAACTGGGGTAGTCTTTTTCTACCATCTACTGCTTTCACTGCAGCTGAAAGGGTAACGTGGAAGAAGGGACTATTCTGTTACACTGTTCTCATTCCTAACAGTTTTCGCACTTGTTTTCCAGAATTGCAGGTGGCACTACTATGTCCTTTGTGGATATCCCTCCAGACTTGGTGCCCAGACTATCCGCCCGCTGCTACGCTCAATCCCGGCAGGAGCACAGAACGGACGCTCAGAGCTGAAGGAGCTTGAAGACATGCAAAGAGGGACCATTCACAATAAAAAACCACCACATTTTGCTCACTTCCAGAAAACCTAGTCTTCAAAAGTCTTGATGCAGATGACCACTTACCAATGCGTATCCAAACACATCTAGGGTTTAGTTTCAGTGCCGTACCGATATATAGTAAGTAACCTGCCCCAAAGGGCTTACAGACTAGAAAATCCAAAGAGCTTGAGATCAGAGCAAAAAGAAAGTATTATGAAATCTTGTGAAATGTAAAGTGAAGGCGAGTGAAAAACTGTCCTGTGAACATGAAGATGTCTTCATAGCGGATCAATTAAATAAGACCTTCAATTAATTTCTTACCTTAAATATCTTTCCCTATCGAAATATTAGCACAAATATACCTGAAGGAAGAAAGCGAAAACGTGTGGATCTTGTTATGTTTGTAAACTCTGTGTTTAATATTTGCATATCTCCTAAACACACTAATGTCCTTATAACCCTAAAACGCGTGGTAGCTACTTGCACTGAGAAACATATAAAACCTTTTGAAGTTTTCCTAGGATAAATAATAGAAAAGAGCATAAGATTAAGAGCACTCTGGAAGTCTCATATAAAAAAGACTGCAGATCAATAGCACTGATTAATTTCTCATTGTACGGAATTAATCTGGCAGTTTGCTCTGCAGACAGTGTGAGAGGCAGGAACATTGGTCAATGTGTTGACTACCATTGAATATTAGCAAACAGAGGGAGACTCTGGTAACCCTGACTAATCTTTGAGGAAAATGGTCATGTTAATTTTGAAGTAAAACCACGATTTTCATTTCTGTTTAATGCAGAAGAGGTATAAAACATATCACTATGTATTACTTAGTAATATGTAATACACTATGTAATACTTAGTGATATAAACATATCACTAAGTATTACTAAAGATCCTAAAGGATAGAATGGGAAAATCGTAAACAAATTCTAGTTTGATCAATAACATTTAGTCCCTTTCTTATTTCAACAGATCAAAGTTTCTTTGTGGTTAAAGATATAACAAATGCAAAAAGGTGAAGTAGATGTCACTCTCCTATCCTCTGTACTATGACAGTCTGAGGCTAGAAAGGGCTACTGCAACCATCTGTACTAACATCTTGCACTATGGGTCAACTCATGCTTTTCATATTAATCTCAGAACACCTGGTAAAATTATGGCCTAGTAGGCCTTGATTTAATGTTTTCAAACGATATACAGTAGTTGTTCCGATGGACAACTACTCTCTCTTTTAAAATATGTGCTGTTTCCAAACTGATTTTTTAAAATTATTTTCAGTCAACAGCCAGTGGATCTCATCATGTTGCTCGGACAAAAGACCTGCAATCGTGGGAAATCTCTTCCACATGTAGGTGTTTATAGAATACGACCAGGTCATCTCTTGATCTCATCTTGAAGAAACAAGAGAGATGCTGCTTCTTGTGCCTAACACTACGAAACATAGTATCTCCTTGGAAACTTCTCCATAGCATGAGGTTTTCTCACTCACAACCACCTTCCCAGATCTACGAGCAAATTATTTTTTCATTTGATTTGAGACAGACTGAGTCAATTTTGCGTAATGCTACTTTTCTGTAACAAAATGTTGTAGAGAACACATTAAAATACCTTGCATAAGTCTGTTTCATCATAAAAATTATTAATAAACACATTTGACAAGATATATTCTCCATAAACCATCATTCATATTAGTAATAATGTCTTGTCTGAGTCACTGTTGATCATATCTCCCCTATCACATTTCCATAATTTCATTAGCGGCAAATGTCAATTTTACAAACTTACACTTACCTGAGTCATTCCATCTACCATTAGAAATATGGACACATTTTATTTTTCCCAGTAAAAAACAAAAATTACTTTTGAGAGGGACTGTTTCACCTCAGCCCTACTTCTGGATCAAACAGAAAGCTCGTCTATATTATAATAAAACAGAAACATGCCATCTTTCTATTTCTCAATAGTAATTTAAGGAAAAATTTTGCTTTCTTTTCTATCATGATTGATGATTTTTAAAATTTTTATCTACTCTTGGGCCTAAATCATGGTTAGACCTTTTTTTATGTTCCTTTAATACTTTCAGTAAGGTAGGAGCTTTTGACTTAACAAGGCCACGAGCTATGAATTCTCAAACACTGCTCTTAAAAAAATGTGTGTATTCATACATAACTGATCTCCAAATCTTATCTTTTAAGCTTCCAAACTGCAGGAAAAATAGTTGAACAATTTCTCAAATGTATCCAAAAATTGGTTAAACTGTTGCAGAGGTTGTTACTGTAAGATTCAGGGATGTTCCAGGACCCTTTGTTTTTTGAAGTGTAAACAAATGGTGTCCCTCAAGAATAAAAGCCACTTGGATGCAAAGTAGCATATTGTCTCCTCACAAATACGGAGTTAAATGCAGAGTATTAAAAGCATTACTCTTTGTATAGATACAACAAACCTAACTACCATCACACAATGTAACACGAAGAGAGAGAAAAAATTCCATTGCACAGAAAAAGCAAGTATTAGAAAGCATAATTCAGGAATTTACTGATGTCATGATAAAGTGATTCTCCTAATGACATATTACTGTATGGAGGTATATGGAGATGATACCACTTATCAACTAGCAAGCAGTAAATGAGTAATGATCCAAGAGTTAGCCAGGAACAAATATTCTGTATTTCAGTTTTCTTGTCTGCTATGCTGCGAGTACTGAGAACAGAAAACGAAACAGAAGACAACTAAAAGATAAACTTAATATTAAAAGATTTGGCAAAGGAGCTTTAACCGATAAAAACAAAGGCAGATATACGTAGGGGAAAAAAAAAAAAAAGGCAAAGAGACAATCTCAATATTCAGATATGTGTTTACTGAATGCTCCAAGCACGGGACTTCATGAGCTCCAACCCAACTTTGCAGCGCTTCTTTTTGTGTTTACAAATACCAACGCCACGAATTTGGAAGGGGTCCCACAGATGCCAACAGCTCCTCTGATATAACTATTAGTTGTGCTGTGGAAAGGAGTTGTTCGTGACAGATGTTACACATGTAGTAATGTTCCTACTTCCAAAGAAGACACATAATGTGAGATAGGATCACACAGAAGCATTCGGAAGCTAATGACAAATGGTCCAAAGATCCTAAGAGCAGAAAATGATAAAATGAGCACTTCAAATTCAGATAAATACTCTTCTGAAAATTATCCCTCACTGGTGATACAGGACTTAGACATTTGCATTGTGAAATGCTCCGACTGTGATACATGCAACTAAAAAGACACGAACTAGCAGCAACATGGTTGTATGTGAGTCCATATCGTCGTACAAATGCACACATATGGGCATAAAAGAGAAATTCAATCTGAGGGAGAAGATATCCTGTAACGTTCAATCAAGTGTTTCACTATTAGGGAAACGTCTCCAGCAGTAGAACCGAAGTTCAGCTGGGATACGCTTCTTTCAGCAGCGTATCAAAAACCACAAAGACAAATTTCTGAATAGGAAATTTCCTTAGAGATTTCAAGACCTTTCTCAGTGAAACCTGCAAGGCAGGATGTTAAGGTTGCTGACTGCAATGCTTTACTAACTGATGGTTTTGGAGCACACAACTTGGAGCAGGCAGTCTGCAGGGACCAGATGCTTGTGCTGCTACAGAAGTTGCTCCATAATAAATCTGTAGCCACAGACTTTGCAGTCAGCTTTCCCATATCATCCGAGCAGCATAAAAGAACAGAACCTGCTACGTTTCAATGCAAAATCAGGAGAAAGTCAAATTCTACCCAGAGGAAGATCTTCACTGGTTGTATAAGCTGTGTTTCTATCAGAAATGAAGGAAGGTTCCGTGCCACGCACAAACAGTACACATGTATCCACAAAGACCTGAACAACTACAAAGCTGAGAGAGGAGAAAGTAAAGCACAGAATAACATTTAACACTTCTCTGCACAAAAAATTAAACCTTCTCAAACTCAGTATAAAACAATTGCTGAGCTGAGCCATCATCACCCTCCGCTGACAGGCACCCAGCTGACACAAACCATCACACCACCACCCAATGCAAAGACTCAACACCACTGTCATCTCTAGAGCACCCTATGGCATAAGTAAAATGCTGGCGGTGACTGAAAAGCTTGTGGTTGCTGCTAGAGAGTGGGAAAGGCAGTAACCAGCTCTGGAAAAGTCATAGGGAACTGGCACAAAACGCCTCATTATCTTTTCTACTTGAGATCCGTAAGCAAGAAATAAAATTCCCAAGGAGGTTCCATTTGATTTTTTTTCCCCTCTCCCATCCATTTCCTCAGCATGCTCAGGCAGTTTAAGATAAGCCCCTTGAACAGCTCAAAGAACTCTACGGGGAGCAGAGATTATAAAGAACTCAAAGAAAAGCAAATGAATTGAAACAAAAACTGTACAGATTAAGAGTGTGTCCAAACAGCATCTTTTAAGACGGTTTTAACTATTTTGAAAAAAAAAATAAGTCTTTCTCAGCTGGAAAACACTACAGGATGGCTTAGCAAATATTATAGAATCTGTTAAGACTTGTTAACAAAAAGGGCAGAGGCCAGTGAATCGTGAAAGCTATCTATCTGCAGCTCTCTTT